ACGGAAACCTGCGAAGAGAACCCTTCGTGACTCAGAAAGCATTTTCGGATGAGTTTCCCTAGGCATCCTGCCAATGAAATCTACGGTAGATACGGCTGCACGTATGTACTCATATATCCATGCAGCACCGCAGCCGCTTCATACCAATCCCTTCGCTTCATATTTTACTTCGCAAATGAAGCAATACGAGCATCAGGTACGGTCGTCCATTTGTGGGCGGGCGGGCGTGGTGGGCGTTCGGGTCGGTATGTTGTAGCTTGATAGGGCCCTTATAAGGGTACCTTTCCTTGGAAAGGCGCTACGCAGCGCCTGCTCAGGGTCGCGGAATTCCTTCCTGCCAGGCGTATTAATCCTACTCGCCTTAGAGATTTATCGTGCCAACTGCCTTTAAGCGCTCAAATAGTAATAGATGTAGGCATGCACTACTATGCACTTGTATTACTGGTATCTTTGTATGTAGTACGCACATACAACAGAAGCTAATGCTCCACAAGTAATGGGAGTAACTGGTCTCTAGTCCCATTATATTGACAACGAGTGGTTTCCGATTACCCCCTTTTTTCTTCGTGACATACGTTCGTCATCCGAGCAGTTGATTAGGGCGGTCGCATTTTATTTCGTTGCCAGCTGCCTTTTAAGCGCTCAAATTAGTAATATTTTATTAGGTTGTCCGGAAAGTTCTTAGCGTTTTGTGCACCTATTTTTTGTACATTCACTGCTGTTTAAAAACTCTTTCTGCCTTGCTTCTCAGTAGCCAATCCTGTAGAGAATTTCTTGCGCTATCTGATGGTATAATTGCCGTTTCACCATTGCTTATTGAACTCCCTTTTTCAAGATTTTTCAAACATGTGAAAAGAGCACTTCGGACGATTTTTTTCTTCGACTATAAATTGGGGCAATCCGCAATCGAAACAGCTCAACAAATTAACCAGGTGTGGGGGCCCAATAGTGCTTGAGAAAGCACTGTGCTGCAATGGCTCAACAAAGTTCGTTCAGGAGATTTCAGCATTGAAGATGAACCTCATGGCAGTCGACCTAAAGCAATATCTGACGAGGATTTTGAGGAGATTTTGAAGGCTGACCCATCCCAAACAGTTCGAGAGATTGCAGAAAAGCATGGCTTGGCAAAATCCAGTGTTGTAGATTGTTTGAAACGCATTGGGAAGGTGAAAAAACCCGACAATTAGGTGCCCCACAATCGGAGTGACCGGCAGGAATCGGCACGTCTCGAGGTTCCTTCTTCGCTGCTTTTGCGCAAAAGAATTGACCCGTTTTTGAACCGATTTGTCACCTGTGATGAAAAATGGATCATGTATGATAACAGGATGTTCCGGACAGTGGTTGGATTTGGAGGAACCACCGAGGTAATTTTCAAAGCCGAACCCTCACGAAAAAAAATTCTGGTCAGGTTTGGTGGTCATCGGCTGTTGTAATCCACTATAACTTTTTATCACCAGGCCAAACCATCACAGCAGAACCCTACTGTGAACAACCGACCAAATGTACCGAAAATATTGTCAGCTGCAGCCAACACTTATCAAAAGAAAGGGTCCGATTCTTTTGCATGACAACGCCCGCCCACACGTTTCACAAATCACTATCCATAAATTGAACGAATTGGGGGTTGAAGTTCTACCTCACCCACCATATTCTCCAGACCTTTCACCAACCGACTGTCACCTTTTCAGACATTTTCAGAACTTCCTTGCTGAAAAATACTTCTTCAATTAAGACCAGGCAAAAAAGACCTTCGTAGATTTCGTGGATTCTCGACCACCCAGTTTTTCCTTTTATGGGATTTCTCGACTGCTGTCACATTGGCAAAAGTGTGCTGATTCGAATGGTGCCTATTTCGATTAAATCCGATGAGTATTAAGAAAGTTACGATCGCTTAAAGTTGAAACACCCAAAAGCTAAGAACTTTCCGGACCAACCTTAATAGATTATAGGCGCTACTATGCACTTGTATTACTGGTATCTTTGTATGTAGTACGCACATACAACAGAAGCTAATGCTCCACAAGTAATGGGAGTAACTGGTCTCTAGTCCCATTATATTGACAACGAGTGGTTTCCGATTACCCCCTTTTTTCTTCGTGACATACGTTCACTCGGAGGCATACATATCGAGCGTACATAGAGTAACAACTTCACGTCTTGCTTCATACAAGTAGAAACTAACCTTCTCACAATAAAATATCCAAGTTACCATCTCTACCTACTATATTATCCTGCATTTATTATTAGATTAGAACTAAACAATAGTTGCCTAAAATTTTAATTTTGGAACGTATTCGCGGTAGAAGCAAAAAGGCGTCCTTGATAAAGGGGGCGTTGCCATTGCGTTGACCATGAGCTCAATTGCAGAAGGTACTTTCGTGAGGACTGTTAACTTGGCAGGAAACGTCTTGCCTCTTTGCCTTTTTCCTTTTTTCTTTCTCGTTTTTCCTTTTTCTTTCCTTTTTCCAAGTATTTTCTTTCACATAAAATGGTTTTTTTTTCAAAGCGCCATCAAATACTAACAGGAATGGGGCCATCTGCAATCGATTTTGTCTCCTTGTCTTTTTCTGTTTCTTGGAATGCTGCTATTTCCCCCAATAGAAAAGTGATTGAACTGCGTGTTGGTCGGCAGCACGTAGCGTTTTTTACGCATTGGCTGTTTTTCTTTTGAATCGATCACCAACCGATCACAATTATTGGAGCAGGGCAGCGGTAGGCCAGATCATCCGGCCCCTCCTGGCCCCGCCCGACTAATTGCCACGATGTCAGCTGTAACAACCGCTGCGTTCTTCTTTTGGACCCATTCGACAGAGATGATGCTATAAAGGTGATGCTGTCCGACCGGCTTCGATTATTCCACAAAGTTTTGCGCATGCTCTTATGTGCTTATACGCCCTGATAGCTTCAAGTATGCTCAGGAAGTTAAAGAGTGCTGAAATTCTGCACTTTCCGTTCGAATGCGATTGCGGCTAGAGTGGACATAGGCAGCTTACAAGAAGAAGAGGCAATAGGCATACGGTCGAGCTCTCGCCCTCGGGCAAATTGGCTTCTCACATTGAAGTGCAGTACCGAGGTGTTGATAAGGATATGCTCACAGAGCTGTGTAGCCACCACATAAGTCAGAGTAAAAGTCAGAGTTCTTGTTCTGCACATGTGTTTCTGCAATTGAGGCTGAGGTGGTGAACTGGCAGACCCCCCGGTCGACTTCCCGCTTAGATTAACCAAGTCCTCTACCCCCGGGGACGGCGAAGTGGTACATATTTGTCTGGGAGTATAATAACACAGACTTGTACATCGGCTGGCCCCCGCAAGTCATTGTACAGAGTGGGCCCAATGAAAAAGTCACTTCGATCGAGTCACATATCAGCAAAGTTTTCGCAGCCCAGACAGAGGACGTGGATACGAGTACCAGGGCGGAAGATACCCAAGATGTTCCTCGATAAGCAGGAGCTGGCTCTTGCCCATCACTTCATGTACACCAAAATATGAAGTCATCTCTAGTAGCAGTCTGACTAGAGAAGACCTTTGAAATTCACGTCACCTCCAAACAGCTGCGAATTTCTGGTATGGAGTCACCCATGAATAGGCTACCTAACCAGTACGCTCGATCTGGAAGAGCTCCAACAGCTCCGACAACGTCGCTACGGTCTAGGACATCATCTTCACCGCAGTCGCCAAGGCACGGGTTGATGGCATGGGCTGGACGTAAGTATGGAAAGACCTATATTTTCTTCGTATATTCCGGACTGAAGGTGAGCGCTGGCGGTTACATCGAGAAACTCGTGAAGAATATCCATATGTCGTCGCCCGTACTTTCTTAGAAACTTTGTACTGCCTACAGCATCGGGCGCCACCACATGGAATCGGAGGGCGTTGGAAAAACTCTCGCCTACTTATAATCGAAGGGCGTTGAGTACCTAAAGGAGATGGAATATCCAAGTAGGTTACCTACACTAAAATCCCTCAATTACCCGGTTTTGGCGGAGTTCAATATGGTGGTCTTCGGTGGCGGAGAAATCGACCATTTCGCTGATCTCAGGCACCACATCGCGGTCGCGTGCCAGAATTCTCATATGGCGCCTCGTCGCCGAAGGCCTGCGGAGTTCATGATGAGTGATTATGACAGGCCTCTTTCAAATGGTAGTGAAGCAATGTCCGATCAGAATTTAATGAAGTGTAACTTATAGCGCCTCGAAAGTCAAGGAAGAAAAGTGACTTTTTTATCGCCTCTCCCCCCTGTATAGGCCACAGCCACTACGATTTCGAATGGGAGTAGAATACGTGCCACATCCCAGAAAGGGACTGATCAACGGCGAAGAATGTCAGTAGGTAAGTTGGCCATGCTCTAAAACCAATTCTGAGCTGTCTCTCTATTCCATTTTCGGATCTTATTACTAAGCTCATAGGTGAGGTAGTGCCTGGCATCGACTCAGGCACTTTCCTCGCAAAGAGGCTCAAATTTTTCTTGATAAAACTCTAGTACTTGCTGTTGTTTTCGGACGTTTCCTACGACACTGAGGTGGTTAGATAGAAATATTATTGTAAAAGTAAATACTTCAATGATTCGTAGTATTAAACTTGGCTACATGTTGCAATCGCGGAGGTTTTTATGAGAAATTTCACTTGAATGCTTAGAGGTATGGGCTTTTGCGAGTATAATCGATTCTTCACGATTATGCACTCTTTCAGGTTAAATAACGCTTGTTCTCGTAGTCAAGGTGATATTCAGTTATTCTTCGCTTCTCTTTCATGCGCACAAACTGCTGCAGGTGTTCTGACGTATCCGTCACTGCTCTGACGTACTCGTCACCCTATTTCGTCTGCAGGAGCTTTGCGAAATTCAATTTCACCTTCTTTAATGCTGAAAGCAGCCTCCACCTGTCTTACATAAATGTTCCTGCAAAAGTTTACAATTTTGCACGTCAAAATTGCTATATCTGAAGCCATCGAGCTCGTTGCAGCTCGAGATAGTTACCGATTGTTTACTTTTACGTTCTAGGATGACGGAACCAACCTCGTCCTCAACGGACTTCGAACTACCCAGTAACCTCTCACTGGACATGTTCACTATAGAAAAGAAAATAGGTAAAGGGATGTTTAGCGAGGTCAGTTTGGCGTTGCTTCAGAATTTTTGATGTTTTCTTCAAGTTTCTCGTATTCGTATCATCTATCGTATTTACACAGTAACTTAACTAGGCGGTAGTGATTAGACCGCCTAGATAAGTTACTGTGTAAATACGATAAATCCTTGTATTATAATAGATTCTGAGAAACGACCTTTCAAAGTGTTCCTCGCGGTCCGATGAATTTTAAGCATGAGGGGAGACTGTGCACTAACTTCTGATGAAAGCTCCTGTGGGAGTTTTGATGGGTTTGCAGCTGCAGCATACCCGAGTGCCGCCTCCATACTCCGCCAGCGCTGCTGCACTTTCAGCCACACGTGTAACCAAAGACACTGGGTGGGTGTATTATGGAGACGGCACTCGGGTATCATCCTACAGATAATGGTGCTACCAATCCACTCGCACACGGCAAGCATTAGATGCTGGCGAAGGCGGTGTGTGTACAGTTCGTTATTAGATCAGCGGGACATCAGGACTGTGCAAGGTGTCAAGTGAGTGCATAGCAAAGGTTGTGTAGTGGCTAGTGGTGCGTTCTTCTGGACTGAACCTCTAGGCGACCGACTGAGGCGGAGGTGATGTAGTAACAAGTGGCAGACGCTTACCACTCGTGCAGTCCTGGGTTAAAATCCCCGGTCGACTCCCGCCCAGGCCAACCAAGCCTTCTACCCCCTGGGGACCGGGTAAATGGTACCATGATCTTGTTCTGGGAACTCAAGAACATTTACTACATCGGCTGGACCTCAAGTCATTGTATCATGCATTCAATAAACCACTGCAATTCTGAGTGGAAGTAGAATGCGTGCCGCATCCCGAAAAGGGATTAACAGTGAATTTGCCTCTTATCCTTTACGTGACCAACTAGGCAACTGAAGTTTACTCTCAGATTCTGGGACATTCTCTACTGATAAGACAAGGACACCAACTGAAAGTGAAAGTCACGCCAGTGGATCGCATTCAGTCCGCAGAATGCGATCTACTGAGAGCCGTATCTGGGTTTCCCGAAGGAGTCGCCATTAGAGGGAATGGGGTATGTGATTGTCGGAGGAGATAGGACATAACTTGGTTACTTTCTCTGTTTGTTCACATCTTTTCCCCCTCAACATAAAGTTAGAAGGGGACGTGGGGCAAGGGTGAAGGTGGAGAGACTGGTGAATTGGGAGTCGTATTGTTGTATGATGTGAATCCACATCCTGTTTTATCGGGATGGAAACCGCATTTACACTGACATTTTCCACATCCTGCCCTGTTCGCAAGTCATTATAGGTTGGGTACCCATTTCGATGTTCACACACGAACGAAGTCGAATGCGCCGCGCACACCGCAAGGGGATGGTTCGATTTTCTCTTGTGTCGAGCTTGCTACGGATGTACTTATAGATAAGTATCATCAGCGTTGGAGACTCTCAGTAAAAGCTTGTCCCCGTGTTCGGAGCATACAGTGTTAACTTCCCCATTCGAGCGTGAGAGAGAGGCAAGACAGTCGAAATTTGCCGCTCCTCCACGCGAAGCGTTTCCTTAATTTGCACTAGCTTGGACTAAACTAGAGCATCGAGTTTCAATAAACTACTAATTTGTGAACAATGACTGTTTTTGGTTATACGTAAAATTTTAGCGCCAGCTGCGACATAGAAAGATCGTCATTTGCAGGCGCAACTTCATGCGAGATCCACCAGCGCAGCGACTGACGGTTTTCTTGTCAAAAATACCCTTTGTGCATCTCTCTTGGCAGTGGCAACAAATATTCCGAATGCAGTAATGAGTTCTCTTCCTTTGCAGGTTTTTCGAGCGAGGTGCGAGTGGAACGGACAAATGGTGGCGCTCAAAAAAATTCAGGTGAATCCTGCAACTTTTCGAGGTTTCAGGCTCATTCTCTACAGGTTTACTCTACAGTTTACTATAGCTTCTGGTTTCAGGTATTCGAAATGGTTGACCAAAAAGCTCGACAGGACTGTTTGAAAGAGATAGACCTATTAAAACAGCTAAACCATGTTAATGTTATAAGGTATCCGCACACTTCGGAAGCTTGTCTATCTCTCAGATTCAATAGCACCGTTCTCCTCGCAATATTGATTGCAAATGTCTTGAAATTAAGGTATTATGCTAGTTTCATGGACAACAATCAGTTGAATATCGTGCTGGAGCTTGCCGAAGCAGGCGATATGAGCAGAATGATCAAGGTCTCTTCCATGCACATTCTTTCATCTTTTCTATATATGCATGATGTGATCATAGACTGATCATTCCTATTTCTAGCATTTCAAGAAAAATGGTCGATTAATACCGGAGAGGACAATTTGGAAATATTTTGTGCAACTGGTTAGGGCGTTGGCTCATATGCATTCGAAACGGATAATGCATCGAGGTACGAATGTGAGAATGACGTTTCTTGAACGTACTGATGGCCGTTGACCATCGAGTTCTTTGGAAAAGAATGTGTGGGATCCTTTCTGAAAACAACTATTGATGTATGTCACGGCAATGTAGTTGATGCTTCCGTATCTGACTGTGGATCAGTTACATCACGAACCGCTTTGCTTGCGTCAATGGGTAACCCAGTTACTATGTTGGCATAGAAAAGATTGATCATATTGTTTAGTTTGGGAGTGCGCAGAGGAAGGTATGAGATCAAACATATCCACCATTGTTACTCCAGGGCCCTTTCCAGCATTTGGGCACCTTATACCATAGCTTCATAATGCATGCTAGTACAATGCAAATTTGGACGTGATCTCAACTCTGACGTGAACTGGTCATTCAAGTTTTCCTCTTCTTGTAGCGAGCTATTCGGTAAAAAATAGCAGATGGAACGGGCAATATCTGGGCTACATCGATGGAAAAGGAAAGCTGTCCAACTGCACTCGCGTTAGCTTCGGCGTGAAATTTTTTGCAAGGTCCGGTCTCGCCTATCATGTTGAGATTAGATTGTCCGAGAGTGTACAGCATCGTGACGTGTAAAATGTCAGCACGACTCCTCTTCCCCTCCCAGTAAATTTCTCCTTTGATGCGACCCCCCTCTTCCCCGCTCTAGGCACCATCTTCCTTAATTTTTCTGCCTTTCTCCTTTCTGCCAACTTTTCAAATTTCCTCGAGCCTTTCTTCAGTTCTCCAGCTTTTACTCACGAAACCGTCATCAAGTGGAATTGCAAGGAGGGAGCAGGTCATCCCCAATTGACTATCAGAAATAGTAATTGCACAGTAGTTTCGCTACGACGGCAACTAGGGAGATATGTAGCGTAAACCCGGAACGGGAGAGTCTCCGAAAACGTCCCCCTCCTTAGTGACCAAGTACAACCCCCGGTGGGACCCCCCCCCAACGATGCCCTGATGACAAACGTTTCTCTCCGATCGAAATTGCTGCCACTTTTCTGAAAGACCGGCTGCTCAAGCAGCTTGTTCATCCTCTAGTTGCGCAAGCCGCGGCTTCCTCAGGATGAGTTCAAATGGGTATCCAGACCTTACGTTGTCCTCAAGACTGTAGCCTCCCGATTGGAGGCACTGACGAGGTGGAAGATTGTCCGATAACGGTGGGAGGGAGAATGATCCCCAAACAACTTCTTCAGCAGGGCCTCGGCAGCTTATGTTCCAGCGTTCGCGCTTGAAGAAAAAAAAATCGGTGGAAGCAGGTGCTAACTGTTCGGGGCAATGATGTTGTTCATAAGGTGCTGCAGTGAAGGAAGAAGCAGAAAACAAGTTAGCCGTGCCAATAAAAGGAGTTGTTTTCTACATCTGAGCCAACGAGGTTTGTAGGTGGGAACTTTATTGACTAAGGTTTCGACCAGATCGTTGTCTTCAGAGGCCTAAACGTAGCTCAAGATTTTTGGTTTGCCTTCTAAGGTAGACAAGAAGACGAAAGATGGTACTTCTAGAAACAACGGGTGATTTTTGGTTGTTTCCAGAAGTACCGTCGGAAACGCTAGGGCGACGAGGCGTTTGACGGTTAGAGGCAAATTAAAAATCTTGAGCTACGTTTAGGCCTCTGAGGACGACGATCTGGTCGAAACGTTAGGCCTTCAATAAAGTTCCACCTACAAACCTCGTTGGCTCAGAAGTAGAACATCAAGCCTACAACAATGCTGAGGTTATACGCTCATGGCTCACTTATCGGCTACGCCTCTCCAGTTAAGTTCAAGGGCGGAATGCCATACTATCTCCTCTTTCATCTCAAAAAGTTAATCACTGGGAACCACTTCTTTGTTGCATCATTATATTTTCAGACATCAAACCTGCAAACGTGTTCATCACCTCTGAGGGAGTGGTGAAGCTGGGTGATCTAGGACTAGGACGATTTTTCAGCTCCAAGACAACTGCTGCACATTCTCTCGTCGGCACTCCGTATTATATGGTTAGTGCACAATAAGTTTTTCGCGCAGTTCGTCTTGGGTTAAGACATCAATGTAGAAAGTTGTAAGCTCCTGTGACGCTAGGCATTGATAATCATGATCACCTGAGTTTGTGCAGGCCACCCTCTGGATAAATGGTAAGGCTAATTTAGCCGTACAAACGTATCTCGCACCATATTCTGAATTCGCTAGAGTTTGCATGTCCCAGCAAAGCATCTTATGGTTAGAGAAGCTTGTTCAATTCTGCTGCTTCACAGGAGTTCACGAATCACACCAAGGTGAGGAGCTGAAGGAACTAGCGAACCAGCGAGAACCCCCCCCCCCTCCTCCCCCCAGCCGAACGGTGCCATGATTTTTTTTCTAATAAGATATCAACTATTACACCAAATTTTGTGAGTCCTCCTAGGTTTGCGAATTTTGAAACTACGTTTAGTGACCGTTCCATAGATCGAATCCTTCCAGTATAAGTATTAAGTGTGCACGCAATCTTGGAGGCTGAAGGACTTGTGCCACTTGGGAATGCGTGGCAAGGGCGCCAGGGGCCGATGACTCAAAGACAGAGTGTACACTCCCCCCTGAGGACCCACTCAGTGTGCAAAGCGGATTGGACCTCGTAGTGGGCCACTTTATCCCCGCAAAAATGCACTGAGTGGGACTTTGGGGTAATGGCACCCATATGCTTTCTGCATACTCCGCTCGTTCTATCTTCAAAAAGCAAAGCTTGCATCGATACGGAGACCCCGCAGTGAAGCACGTTCTCAGCGTTAGAGAACAAGTCAGAGGGCGAGGGAGCGCAGACAAGCTACACGTTTGTTGGGCGTGTAGCTGGCTGTGTGGCAGCGCGGGCGAAGTATGGAGGCAACACCTGGGTGTCAACGCCTCGAGCCCCGTTTACTTGCATTTTTGTGCGGAGAAACTGGTACACTGCTGCAGCTGCGGACTCATTCTCTCACAGACGGCAGTGATCATGAGCCATGGAGATTAGCTTGCGGTTCTCTTTGAGACAGTGCACGTCCAGTGAGGACAGTAGACGCCCAAACCGCACTTGCGGCACACTAGCGCAGGGTGCTTTCAAATCTGCTACGCTCTTCTACTTCTCTTTCGTGGCTTATAGTCTTCAATGCTGCTCAAGATCAATCCCACGAAGAATCTCCCTTGAGAACATATCCTTAGGTTGCTTTCGCGTTTTATTCTTCTAAAAGGTCATTATCACCTGGAAATTGATATGTGGACAACCTTGCCATCACAAAAGGTGGCTCAAACTCTCATATTTCCATATGAAATTTTTTACCAAGGAAAAAATTGTCTAGTCGTTTTTCAGTCGCCTGAACGCATTCAAGAAAGTGGCTACAATTTCAAATCGGATTTGTGGTCAACTGGTTGTCTGTTGTATGAAATGGCAGCGCTACAATCTCCGTTCTATGGTGATAAGCAGAATCTATACTCGTTATGCAAGAAAATAGAGAATTGCGAATATCCTCCTCTTCCTGCAGACATTTATTCCTCACAGGTACGTTTGCACATTTCATTTCATTCATAACTCGTATGGGTTTTCTATGCCCGCGTAAGCTAGGCTGCGTTTATACTTTGCGGCAGCGTAGCGTAGCGCTTCCAGCGTACGCCAGCGGCAGTGTCGGGGAAAGGATGCATATCGATCTAGCGTTCCCAGCGTCACCAGCGCACGCTGACGTACGCTAGCGGCACGCTAGCGCACGGTGGCCGTAGCGCGGTGACCTGGTTTCGAGGCGGCGGTGACTCCTGGCCGTCTCCCCACGGGAAGCATAGCTATCGATCTAGCTTCACCAGCGTTTCTCCAGCGTTTTCCCAGCGCTTGCAGCGACGGGGCTAGAGAGGGGCTAGAGAGTATTGAAGGTAGGAGAGTATTTTGTACTCTCCTACTTCTCTGCCCCGCTAGCGCTTGCAGCGACGGGGCTAGACAGTGGCTAGAGAGTATTGAAAGTAGGAGAGTATTTTGCACTACTGTACTGTCCTAGTACAAAATACTCTCCTATTTTCAAATACCTCTCTAGCCGCCGCTCTTCTACCCGTCGCGCAAGCTGCTGGGAAAACGCGGAGACACCTGGTGGCTGCGTGGCTATGCTCTCACGACCAGCGACCCTAGCGTATCGAGCCGCCTGGTGACGCTCGGGACTTCCGATATGTCATCCCTGCGGCCCGACCACCTAGCCGCCTGCGCGTGCGCTCTGGAAGTGCTACGCTAACCCTACCCCGCTGCCCCTGCTCAAGTATACAACCTGCCATCACCAGCCTGAGGTCTGTTTCTTCTTCCCCGCGGAATCAACTGAAAACTGGATGCACCTCGTGTTCGAAATGTCCGATCTGAGCGGGTTCTTTGGTACTCATCCTATCTTTTCTTATTTAAGCACTTTACCCCGCCCCAGCTTCTTTCCTTCATCGTTGAACGAAGCAGTGTTTGTGGCGGTCAGTTCGGCGACGAGGAGGGCGCAATTTTGCACTTTCCCCATTCCTAGAGAACTCTTCATAGAGCAAGACAAGAGGTTACGGTTACCCCAGCGTGGCTAGGCGAGCTTGCTCCAGCTTTACAAGTGTTCACAAAGCTTCACCAGAGCGGAACTTGTGAACCAGAACCGGTAAAGCTTTGACTGACCAAGTTCTTCACTTCTTCATCGTCGGCTAATTGGCTTCATACTCGAAGGAAAAATGGGAGCCTGACGCAAGCAACATTTGGCCAATTCACAGTCGCTAGTAAGTGATTCACTAAGTCACAAGGAACGTTGAATACTTGGTCCCCGTGGAATACCTCATGATTATGGTCGGCATAGAGCAACTAGGCGCTTGATCTTTGCTTATATGCTCTTAAATCTTGATCTGCTAGTCTTGAAACGGTTTAATAGGGTAAGCTCGTAGCTGTTATGTGTAAAAACAAACTGGACGCTCGCCTCCGTGGATCCTGATTCCTTGCCATGTGTAAGGTAAAAAGGTCCGAAGCTGCTGCAGCGTGCCGCTCTTCTCAGTTCAGAAGAGCACCGATACGTCTTTAGAGTAGTAGTGAACGAGTGTCGTCTCCATACTCCGCCCGCGCTGTCCCACGGCCAGCCACACGCCTACCATAGCCAGACGCGCTACTTGTCTGCGCCCTATCATTCTGGTTGTTCTCTTTCGCGAAGCGTTTCGCTGCAGAAACATGGTATCGACGCAAGTGATACACCTATAGGATAGCGCGCGAGACGGAGACGGCTCTCAGGTACCGCTATCCTATACACCGGTCACATGCAGTTATGCAGTTTACAGCGGAGTATATGGTTTGCTACTGCAGCTGCAGAACCTTTGCCTCGCACATGGCAAGGGCCGTCCTACCTCGCACACGGCCTGGGGGAGGGGGGGGGGGTGTACAGCTTGTCGTCATCAGTGAAAGGCTTCCTGAATTGAAAGAGGATAAAGTACACCTGAAAGCACTGTCCACATTGATTGATGGGCGCAGTTCGACAAATCACTCTGCCTCCCTCAGACGCGCCTCGCCCTTCGCGGAGGTAGAGGGAAAGAGACTCGTTCATGAGGGAAGCACAATGGCACAGCACAATGTCCGAGACCGTGTATGCAATCAGCGCAGACTGTATCTTTCTCTAACTTGGTAGTTCTTCTGCCTCTTATAGTGTGTACCGTGACTATACTACTGATTACTGTACTGTGACAACTCAATGTGCACTTTCAGCTTCGAAGTCTCGTCTCACATTGCATATCTTCGGATCCGTCACGTCGACCTGAGACCAATCAAGTGCTCGAGATCGCCGAGAAGATGAACTATTACTTCCAGCAACTACCAGCACAGACAACAAGTGCCAAATGAGCCTTTTGTTGATAACAATAAGCTCAAGAGTTAAGAGTCACTGCCTTTATGCCGTCCATTTAGGCTTGATAAATTACACGGGGATAGAATAATGGTCAGATGCATTTTGCGAGGCAGCCGTAATGCCAACGGTGAAGGTAATTGCTCTAAACTTGTCCCGCGTGCACTTCCATAACAGTACGGGCACAAGAGAGCTTATCAACGTCCGACACCTCCACCCCAGACTTCATCCTGGTTTGGTGCCAATAACCGCAGAGTTATTCTTTTTATATAAAAATACAA